GCTACCCAAATCAGGGTTTGTAAATTGATAACTTCCCACACAAGAAAGAGGACAACCAGAACTATTCTTGTTCAGGGTAGAGGAGAAAACGAACAGCTTAGAGCCTTCACAGCCTTCACAGACGCATAGCAATACAGAAGGCGGCGATGCCAAGGACCGAGTAGTGAAGGAGTTGATGAAATCTTGACTTGTGGTGATGGTCGACCAAAGCTTAGAGACGGAGCGAAATCTCCCAATAGATCTCGCAGGAAGTTTAGAGAGTATCTCAATGGTTAAGTCCAGAGGAATATGTTGTGATTGAGATGTGTCATCATCATGTGAGGACACTGAGGATGAAGATTTTCTTGTTCTTTGAATGTTTCCCGTCTTCTCTTCCATGGCCGATCGCTCTATTGTTTTTTCTGAAACCCTAATTTGTTATCAAAAAACCAATTCCACTTTCTTTAAACCCTCATCTTTTTCTTTTGCCTTTTTCCCCCTAATTATTTAGTGAAACCGTATTCTATAAAATAGAAATTCGAAGATCTCTAATTTTATTTTCAAACCCATTATCGATCGGACTCTTAAAATAAATATAATCAAAAACAAAAAAGAATTGTAAATATTGATTAGGGGAAATGTAATGCATGTATGTATCAGAAGAGAAAAAACAAGATTAGGGAATCCATAATTAACGAGAAAGTCAAAAGCAAAACATTAAAATGATATTATTTGTGAATTAAAAATAACACTTTTTTATGAAACAGATGGAAAATCAATTAAAGAGACAAATATAAAGTTGTTGAGAGATTTTGATACTTCTTTCGTTTTACATATTAAAAAATGTCGTTTCAATATTTTATTTGACAAAAAGTATAGTTTTGTAATTCTAATGCAGGTTTTAAACTAAATTATAATTATAGTTTATTATTTTAACTTATTAATTGGAGTGCAATTATTTTTTGAGTTTCCCAACAAAAATTAATGATACTAACGTTTATAAGCTCAACAAAAAATGTATATAACTTAGTTAAAAAGTGGTCCACGTCAAGCCAATAGCATCGTTTCGAGTTCGACCATTGCAATATTGTGCTGGCAAGTGGCAAGCAACGCAAGATATGTCCGTTACGTTACGTGGAAGATTCTTCTTCATCTACATAAACTAGAAACCAAATCAAGAAAACGTCTATACACATGCAAAAGAAAAAAATGGGAGAGAGAAAGGAAGTGAAACTATTGGGAGCATGGTACAGTCCATACGCCATAAGACCAAAGATAGCTCTTAGTCTTAAATCGGTCGAGTATGATTGCGTTGAGGAAGATCTCTTTGGATCCAAGAGTGAACTTCTTCTCAAATCGAACCCGGTTTACAAGAAAGTCCCGGTGCTCATCCACAACAATAAACCGGTTTGTGAGTCTCTTAACATCGTTGAGTACATCGATGAGACGTGGAACTCGTCTGGACCGTCCATTCTTCCTTCTCATCCTCATGATCGTGCTCTTGCTCGCTTCTGGTCTGCCTTCGTTGATAACAAGGTCTCGTTTCTTTTTTTGTGGTTTTTATTAATTGATCCAATAAATTTAGTTTCTTATATTCTTTTTAGGAGTTTCCCTTTGTTAATAATTAATAAGCAAAGCCCTAGAACTGGACTGTTATTAACAAGCAAAGCCCTAGAACTGGACTGTTTGGATGGCGTTTGGGACGAGACCTATAACATGCTCTGCTCTTGATTGAGAGAATGTATAGATTTAGGCTAAGAAGCTATTAGTTATTCTAAAAAAGAAACGTGTTAATTAGTGTGTTACATTCTTATGAATATCTCTCTCATGCATGGCTTGATCGCTCTCTGAGGGGATACTTAGATCGTCTATGTGAGTGTTTTTTAATTATATTATTCCTTAACTTTTCTTTTGAGAATGCAGTGGTTTGCGGCTTTGAAATTGGCGGTAATGACCAAATCAGAAGATGAAAAAGCAAAAGCCATGGAAGAAGTAGAAGAAGGGTTGTTGCAACTCGAGGATGCCTTTGTTTCTATTAGCAAAGGGAAACCCTTTTTTGGGGGTGAAGCAATCGGGTTCATGGACATTTGCTTAGGAAGCCTTTTGATTCTCTTGAAAGCTAGGGAGGAGCTTAAAGGAGAAAAGCTTTTAGACGAATCAAGAACTCCTTCTCTTTGTAAATGGGCAGGCGATCGAGTTCTTGTCTGATGAGACGGTGAAGAGTGTGGTGCCGGAGATTAATAAAGTAGCTGAGTTTCTACGTGATCTTGAGGTTAGAGCTCAGTCCTCACCTTCGAGATCATGAGATCATCTTAGACATGTATTGCAATATGCCAATAAAAGTGTCAAGTAAGCACATGTGAAAGAAATAAGTTTTAAGTTTAAGTGTTGTTCGGTGTATGCTAGGATCTATTATGATGCAATTTATGGGCTTAATCCATTTTATCTTTATAGATATTGTCACTGTCAACCCAAGATTATTCGCCGTAAATCTTTTGTTCAATAATTTAAAATTTTGGTACATGAATTCATTATTCGTGCACAAATAGTTTGGGTACCCTTAACTTAAACAAAAATAAGATTTTTGGGATCAGAAGTTTTGGTAATAAGGATAGTTTTGAAAAAATTTGCGAAAAAAGAACTATATATATATTAAAAAAATTAATCGTTTTACTAGAAGCAAATTTTTTTTATTTTAAAAGTAAATTATTATTCTTTTGGGTTAAATTTTGTTTTAATATTTGAATTGGCCTCGACGACCGTGGCCAAAGTGTAACGATAAACTACCTAATTACAGTGCTAATTTCTCTGTATTGATTTTTTTTAATTACTTCACTGCATGTACTCCTTAATAAGCCAAAACCAAAAAATAAAATTTATCATCCACTAAACAATCAAGTTTTCCCTGTCTGAGATCTAGATCCCACAAGCATATTTTATTTAACAAAAAAAAAAGCTACCAATTATTAAAAGAAAATCAATAGACAATAACTACCAAAAAAAGAACGAAATTGGCAATAACTACACAATAATTAATAATTAAAATAAGAAATATATAAATAATTCACCAAAAAAAAAAGTAAATGAAATATACAAATAATAAATAATTTAAATATAATAAAATACCTTTTTTCTGTAAAAGACAAGGTCCCAAAGACCCAGCTCAAAGTATATTCACACCAATCATCTTCAACATCTCCTTCTTCTCTCTATCAATGGAGTTTTTTCAAAAGGCCAAAGCAGTTCGTCTACGGAGCCACCACGACAACTAACTCAAGAACGTAACGGCTCAGCAGGAGCAACTAAATGGACCGTTGAGATAGTCCCTGGCTCAACCAACCTTATCTTTCTCAAAAGCGCTTACGGAAAATACATTGACACCCAAATTTCACACTAAATAACGATGTTGATGATATTGTATTTGATGATATTACTTCTCTTTTGGCCACATTATAATCCATTAGCAACAAAAATACGTATCAAGTTGATATTATCTTAGACATGTATTGCAACGTGCCAATACAAGTGTCAAGTATGTTACATGTACATGTGAAAAGAAAATAAGTTTTAAGTGTTGTTCCAATGTATGCTAGGATCTATTGTGATGAAGATCTTGGAGTACTCTCTATGAACACGTATACGTAGTATTATGTATTTACCTTCAATCGAATCATATCCTAAAATGCATTTTCTGTAGTAATGGCCTTTAGTAGAGCCTTTAGGTTTAGGTATAGTGACGGAGCGTTTCATGGTACCCTAATTTGTTAGAGCTTCTATATTGGTACATACTGATTTGATCCTTAATATATATTATCTTTAATATATGTTTTCGATTATTTCACTTTCTTTAAACCCTAATTTGTTAGATCTTCTACATTGGTACATACTCATTTGATCCTTAATATATATTATCCTAAAAATTTGAAAAATTACACTTTTATATTATAATTTAATATATATCTATAATCTATATATATATTTCGCTTCTAATTTGGGAATTTGATGGTAAATTTGTTGACCCTCGCGCAAGTTTATGATTTTTCTACTTTTAATTTATATTATGATTTTTTTTGTTGATTTTTTTTTTGTTTTTCAACGTTTTTTTTGTTTGTTACTGTTGTCAGTTTTATTATTCTATTTTTATATGTTTATTTTTTCTTAATTTGATATCAGTTTAGTATTTGAAATACAGCGAATTCGAGCAATCCAAAGCGGCGTGGAGCGTTTTCTACGATTGGTACTAATCGCTAACAACCGCAAACGCCCGCTACCAACCACTAGGCGGGTGAGAGCGGGAGAACGAATATCGTCAACTAACATTCATTCCATTGTTTCTAGGGTACAAAGCTAATAGTATGTAGAAGCTTTACCAATGGAGTTATCAACAAAAAATAAAAAAAAATGAATCAAAGACATAATTAAAGAGAATCATAGTAACAAAACGTAATTGAAAAATGAAAACATTGATAAGCATTGATAAGCATACTTCAAAAAGACACGATACTCTCAATGTGATTTGGCCAAACGTTCAAGTTGTAAAAACGTTCTTTATCAAATCCACAGCGGCGTCTAATATCATCACCCACAATTCCTTCAAACAAGACTTGTCTAATACTGTTCCCCTTAGGATGAAAACATAGAATAGAAAACGATTCAGAAAACCGCCATGGTGCAAAAATAAGCTCACCAGCATTAGTGACCCCTCTGAAGCATAGTGTTTTCTTCTGCATTGGGTCCATTTTAAAAGGAGGCAAAACAAATCGTTTATGCGTCCATTCGAATATATTTCCATCCTTCAAAATCCATAGATCAATAGAAGGGAAATCCGTAGTCTTAACTATGGCAAATCTTCCTTCATAAGGTATCATATCAGAAACAAAATAAGTATGAGTCTCCGGAAGTTTTATCGAATCGACCTTTTCAGATCTGATGTCACATCTTACTATACGGTGTTCAGTACCAGTACCAACAGAAAAAATGGCTGAATAGTACATGACTCCATTAATACATCTCCCAGAACTTAGTATAGGCCAATGCTTAGGGAGACCTTTGGTTATTATTCTACATGAC